AAATTCACAATGTGTATGCATACATAATAATGCACACATAATAATAGTAGTAGTAGTAGTAGTAGTAGTACTACTACTACTACTACTACTACTAGTAAGGAGAAGAGGAAGGGGAGGAGGAAGAGGAGGAGGAAGAAGAAGAAACTGGTATACAAATTTCTAAACCTTTAATGAGTGAAGAATTCTCTGTGATGAGGAGACTGTAGCATATCTGAATAGGTGCCAGTACCTGCTAAGCACGTACAAGCGGCTGGTGGGACTGAGAAACTGAATTTTAAGTTGTCCATGCATTTAATTCATTAAAATATAACTTTAAAAGGCCACTCAGGGCTAGGGATACTACAATGAAAAACAGTACAGGAAACTGGAGGGAAACATTTGCACTGTAAGCATGATTTAAATAGAAAAAAATTCCTGTAGATATATACATAGATTCTTTTGGACTTTAAAATGTTGTGGTTTATAAAGAAAGAGGGGGCTAGGGAGATGATTCAGTCAGTAAAGAGCTTTCCTTGCAAGCCTGTGGACCTGCATTTGACTCCCAGAGCCTATGTAATACAAAAGCCAGGCATAGGGGCTGTCTTAGTCTGTTCTTCATTGCTGTGACAAAATACTCTGACCACTACCAACTTAGGGAGGAAAGGGTTTATTTCTCTTACATATCCCAGATCACAGTTCCTCCAGGAGCCCAAGGTAGGAACTCAGGGCAGGAACCTGGAGGCAGGAGCTGGAGCACAGGCCATGGAGGAACGCTGCTTGCGGGCTTGCTCCCCTGGCCCCTGCTCAGCCTGCTTTCTTATGCAACACAGGCCCACCTGCCCAGGGATGGCACCACCCACAGTGGGCTGGGTCCTCCCACATCACTCATCAAGAAGATGCCCCTCAGACATGGCCACAGGGCAGTCCAATAGAGGCAATTCTCCAACTGAGCCTCCCTCAACCCAGGTGTGTCAAGTTGACGCTAAAGCTATCCAGCACATGGGCCATATTTGTAACCCCAGTGCTAGGGTTTGGAGACAGGCAGATCCCTGGGGATCACTGGTCAGCTAGCCTAGCCTACTTGGTGAGTCTCAGGCCTGAGAGAGACTTTATCTAAAAAACAATACTAAAAGTTGTCCTCTGGCCTCCATATACACTTATACACACACACATATGTATGAGCACCCACACTCATGCCCCCACACACACCTAAACACACCCCACAAAAACAGAGACCAAAAGAAAAAAGGAAGGGGGGGTGGTAAGGGACTATAATATAGCAGAAAAATGTTGCTGTATTTATAGGAATCAAATTTTCTATACTACCACAGAAGTGTTTCGTTAGTATAATTTCTTATGGAGCTTCTAGAATTGTGGATGCTTGGACCTTACCCTAAGGATTCTGGTTAATGGGGTGATGCCTGAGCATACAAATTATTAAAATCTATCTAAATGACTCTAAGGTTTGGCATAGGTGGGTACCACTAAGCTAGACAGAAAAAATAGAATTAAGCATATAAGTCACATGATATAAAGACATTTCTTTACTGGCCTTTTGACAACCCAGATTCAAGTAAAAAATCCTGAGGCTAAATATGAGTTACACATTCTGGATATTCAGAATTGACCTGAGTGCAGTCATGAGCATTTGAACTTAAAAATGCTATTCTAGGCCAGGTGTGGTGGCGCACACCTTTAATCCCAGCACTCGGGAGGCAGAGGGAGGCAGATCTGAGTTCAAGGCCAACATGGAAGCAAACAGACAAAGCAGTTTGCACTTGCCACATCTGTATACATTATTTCATTTCATCTTCAAAATAACTTGGAAGTAGACACTGTTAAATTATTTACAGATGAGAAAAGTAAACTTACAGGTCTCTTAACCTCTGTCAGAGAGTTAGGTCTTTTCACTCTTCAGTGCAGATAGGTTCTGCTTGAGACAGTCTGTTTCAAAATATTTTCACACTCCCCAGTGTGAAAAGAAAATAAAACAATAGAAAAAAAGCAAGGGATTTTGTGTGTGTGAAGCACAAAGATAAGGCAGACACGTTGAAACAAGTACTGGACCCAACCCTTGTTTCTAAAATTCCCCTGCATCTGATAGCAAACTATAGGAAAACAAGTTTATGGTTCAGATCTACACCAGTCTCTATACCAGATCTTTAGGAGTTTCTGGTTTTTCTTGTAAATAGTTAGACATTTGGTCTCCTACCACTTCACAAACTATTAATGATGGCTGCACAATTGGGAATAGGTTGACAGAAGAGGATATTTACTCCAGAAGCAAAATAGGAGAAAGACCTTCAGAAAGAAGCTTTTGCTTTCCTACAAACTCAAAAACTATTTTAAGTCCTCTTAATGCGGCTTACATGCCACAGTTTTGATATAACACTTACAGTGAGTATAAAATTTGTAATTTTTATTTCAAATAAAATTTGTAATAAAATTGGGTTTTTCAAAGTCATACATCAATTTGCTTATGAAAAGCTATCATTTTTTAAATTTTTATTTTTTTGTTTTATGTGTATGCATGTATTTTTGCATGTAGGTAAGTGCACCCGTGTTGTGCAATACCCTTGGAGGACGGAAGAGACTGTAGGATCCCTTGGAACTGGAGTTATGGACAGTTGTTAGCTGCCATGTGGGTGCTGGGACTCGAACCCGGGTCTTCTGCAAGAACAACCAGTGTTCCTAACCGCTGAGCCATCTCTCCAGCCCCCCAAAAACTATCTTTTAAAAATAAAATTCTTTCCTTATTTGTTAAACCCACTTTAATTTTCAAATTAAGAGATAAAAGCTTTCAGAAAAAAAGAGAGAGGACACAGAGAATATAGATCTTTAGATGCCCCCCTTTCCCACAGTGATGATCTTTCTAAGTCCCAGTATCTTCCCTCCTTTCTCAGGCTCCTACCTTTTAAAGTGATATTAACTCAAATGAGTCATACCTAGTTGCATCAGAGGCCTGATAGAATACTTTCAACTCACTAGTCTCATGAATGGCACAGACTTCCCAAAACACATTCCAAAATAAGAATATGATGACAAAGTAAATGTACTGGCTTGGAGTATGGTTGTTTCGTCTCAATTTCAAATAGTACTAATTATAATTTGATTATACTATAAGAGTGCATTAAATTTTATTTTCAAACATTATATTGTTAAAAGAAGAAAACAGGGAAAAAGAAGAAGATAAAAAGTTCTACTTTTCCTTTATAGTCTTTTTAGCCAATACATTTACGCAAGAAGATGAATTGGAAAAACAGATTCAGTTGATGTAGGAGAAGCTACAATGCTCACACATCCAATCCTTAATCTGTTAAAGGTGAGATACGGCAAGACCTGTTTTTCTTAAACAAAAGATAAGCATTGTAAGATAAATACCTAGGGTTGGGTATGCAGCTCAGGAGTAGAGTACCTGCCTAATCTGTCAAGGCCCTGGGGTCCATCTCCAATTTCCTCCCTCATCCAATCAAAAAGACGAACACCCAGCATCTACCCCTAAACAAATGTCTAGGCAACTCCCTTGGATTGGAGTCCTGCATTTAAGACATTCTTTTAAGAAAAGAAAAAGCAAGTTTTACAACTTGTGATATCCTACTATGGTATTCCAATCTGCCCTTTAAACCAACTCTGGTTTTGATGATGTATGTGTGCGTTTGTCTGTTACTTGTAACATGAAAACTCTTGGAGATTTTTGGATGTTGATAACCATGCTCAACCCCTCCACCCCGCCCCCCAAAAAACAGGCTTCACATGCTAGTAAAAATGTGGTGGGACGAATGTAAATTTGAGGCTAAACCTACATAATAATGATAAAGAAAGTCATAATTCTCTAATGATAGTGAAGGTGAAAGACATGAGAAATTTTGTCCCTTTTCTTTACTAATTCTTAATATTTTCTATTTTTGAATTCCAGTAGCCACTCTCCCTTCTTCCCACAAATATTCCCTTGGAAATCTGGAGAATACAGATTTCTGTACGGGTTTACTGAGTCCATGTCTTCATGAACTTACTTAAGAAAAATGCTACTAATAAATACATAATTTGTACCACGTCACCACCACAGCAGCCAGTAAGAATGAGGCAGGTTTTCACCCTGACCCTGCCAACCCAGTTCAAGAATTTGGGAAAATACCACTGTTTGTTTCATAATACAGGTACTTAATCTTTTCCCACCCTTTAATAAACTCTCCAGATAGAACTTTTAGACTCTTGCTAATTAGTTACCAGAGTCCTTCAAGTCACTGATCAGTTGTCCCACATTTTGTCTAGGGCCCGCCTTGAAAACAATCCCGATTGCCCCATTTTCTGAGAGGTAAACTCAGCTCCAGGCAAGCGCCCAATGAAGTCACCGCGTTTGTTGTTTCAAAGATGCAATTACACGAAAATGACAGAGGGCTGTCGAAGAAATTAGTTTGGATGTTCATGCAAGTGTCGATCGCACACCTAAGGCAAACGAACAGTGCACTGCTAGAAATCACTCCTGTGATAACGTCTTCCCATTCCCCCTCCAACACCCGACAGAGGCAAAGTAAATTACCTACGAAGTTCCCTGACTGTGGTTTAACTGCAACTTCCCAGCTCTCGGCGCTGGGGATCACGTCAAGAGCCCACGAAGGCTGAGCCGGAGCACCGAGAAGCAAAGCCATAAAAGCTTGCATCACGCAGGGTCCTTGCATTCCCCCCCCCAACTTCCTTCTCCAGACACACTCTTCGGGACGGCCTCTAACCACACCACCCCACAATCGTTTACAGAAATTAGAAACAGATCCGGGAGCCCTTCCCGGGCATGCACCGAGTAGGGCCGTCCGCACCAGCCCCCGCAGGGCAATGCCACCCGCTGCTCCCCACAGCCCGTCGCTCCACCCCGGGGGTCCACTCCCGAGAACCCGGAGACCACGGTGCTGCCTACGTGCGGTTTCACGTCGCGGTTCCCGGCCCGGCCAGGGAAAGTGGCTCCGCAGCGGGGCGCGGTCAGGACCAGCGCGCACATCCCGCCCAGCCCGGCCGCCCGCGCTTACCGGCGCGTGGGGAACTCGGCCGCGGCCACCGGAGCGCGGCGCGTAGGCTGCGGGGAAGTGGTGTGGGCGGCCGCCGAGAGCCGCCGCTTTTTCTCCGAGCGGCTGCGGGCGTGAGCCGAAGGGGCCGAAGCGGAGCCTGGGGCCGGGGACAAGGGAAGCAGCATCTCCTCCCGCGCCGCGCCTCCGAAACGCCGCCCGACGGCGACCCCAGCCGAGCTCCGCAGCGACTTCGTCCGAAGCCTCCCGCGAGGCGCCTCAAGAGCGGCGGCCCTCGCGCGATACGGCCCAGGTGGCTGAGGCGGACGGAGGAGCCCCGGAGTGTTGCTCGTCTGCACCGCGGAGACCTCCGGGGACCGTGACCATGGTGTGTCACCCTCACCGCGGTGCACCCGAGTTCCTCACAGCGCCCGGCTCCACCTCGGCCGGCTCACTGGCCCCGCCCCTGCCCAGTCACTCAACCCCGCCCGGCCCAGACGGGACAGCGGGTAGCCGACCCTGCGCCGCGCTCCGTCTCATTGGTCGGCTTGGCGTCTGGCCCCGCCCCCTCCCCAGGGACGAGGTCGCCCGGGAGACCAGCGCCCCAGTTGTCATGACAACCGGTGCCTTGGGCCTGGGCTTTTTACTCCTGTTCTGACTAGCAGTTCAGGTTGATGGCCCGGCAGCAAAGTTCCGAGCGTCTGCAGCGTGGACGCCTGCCTTGCGCCGAGCGGAGGAGGCAGCTGTGGGCCTCATACACTTCCAACTTCAGAACCAAAACTTTCTGGGGAGCCTGAAGGAGAGTGACAAAAGCGAAGCTTCCAACTGTTCTGCTCCTATTCATCTAAACAACCCCTCCCCCTCCCTCGCAGCTTCGTTTCCAGATTCTCTCCCGCAGACTGGGACTTTGAAAGGCTGAGGAGAAAGTGGCGAGAAAGAGCCTAGCTGTGCCAGCTCCCCCAGCCGCACAGCAGCTGGGAAATGGCGGGGTCAGTGGAAACAGCTCTGGGAGAAGAGCCTCGAAGGTGTGCTAGGGCAGCACAAACCCAGACACCCCCGCAGAACTCACATACTCATGTTTTTGTAAACAGCATGCAAATTTTTGTCCTGTTAGTTTCTCTGTGAAACTGATCGTCCTAAAATTTAAACATTTTCAGTAAAAGGACACAGTCGAGAAAATAATCTCTATTTTCCTATACACACTGCAACTTGGGGGAAAGTATATCCTGGTAGGTCTTTCTCGCCTGTAAACTAAAACGTTTGCGTTTCAATTTCTAGAAGGGAGTTTAGCGGAATCCAAGAGCAAATAGCGTCTTGTGACTTCGATTTTGAAAGTTTTGGTTTATTTCTAGAGGGACTAGATAATCTGTTCCACTCAGTAACGCCTCCGTAAATTTTGTTCGTGTTGTTCGAGACCCCTCGTGCTGAGCCCTAGGGTGCACCTTTGTTTCATGGCTTCCTCCAAAATGGAGAGATTTGAGGCTTCTCTGGCTTCTCCCAGTGAGCTGCACTCCTAGGTTTTCTAACCCCTGAGGCTGCCCTGCGTATGATGAATGCGGGGGGGGGGGGCTGTTAATCGTAATGGTTTACCTTTGGCTACTACCTGAGTTTTCATTATCTCATGAACAACTGTGATGAATGTCCTCAGTCATAGGCCTCGCAAGCATGCACCGAGTGTGACTGTTCAGTGGTGAACACGATGGAAATGCACAGACTTCTGAGATTCCTGCCCCTCGTGCGGGCTATCCTCGGAACCTGGGGAAGAAAGTTAGCAATCTGGAAACATTTTGAAAACTAGGGCTCAAAAGTTCAGCCCGTTTTGAGTACAACAGCAAAGGAAACGTTATGGAGGGGAACTTGCTCAGGACGTTGAAGGGAAGTTTGGAATGAATGAAGCAAAGGTAGGGAAACCACACAAAACTAGAGTAGCAACAGGAATGAGTGGGGTTGGGAAGTAACAGTCAGCAAGGCCAGCCAGAGCAGCGCAGACAGAGCAGAGTGCTCTGCTCAGGAGCCCTTTGCTCAGCCCTTCCCCCCAGTTTTGAATGTTCCGGTTCGTTTATCAGGGAAGATAGGGAGAGGCTGGCAGGTTTGGAAGAACAAAAACCTTCAGGAAACATTTGCCTCTGTTTGCCATTGAAAGAAAATGGATATATTTATTGGAAAGAAAAGTGCTATCTGTATGCGTGCAATAGCTTGTGAGATCGTGTCAGAAAGAAGGCATGAAGATATAGAGAGACTAGTGTAAACTTCCACAAAAGTAAACTAACTACACTTTTTTTTTTCTTTTGCATTAAGGCCATTTCAGGTGGCTGCCCTCAAGGCTTCCCCCGCCCCCCGCCAGTAATCCCCTCAATTTGGGTCAGGCTGAAAGTGGTTTAAAAATAAAACCAGATTCACAAAAGGGAAATCTACAGGTTAATCTCTGTTTGGATATACTATAAAAGAAAAGAAAACATTAACAAATAGGAACGAGTTCTACAACACAAATGATATGCTAGAATTACAAGGATATATTCCAGATATATAGAAGTAATTCAGTAACAGAAAAAAATTATATAGTTGACTCTATTTCTAAGTCAAAAGAAAAACATAGTATATCTCAACTAATGCTGGTAAGATATGGTAATATCCAACAACATTTTTTAAAAATCTATATTCAGCAATAATGATACATTTTAGGATCATAATATACAGAGGGGAAAAAAAGCAAATTTCTTAGGGTTTTCTAAGTCCTGACACATCACTCTTTGAGATTCAAGCATAATAAATCAGCATTCCCAGGAAACCTCAGAAATTTCAAAATTATGTTCATTTTTAATATACCTGTAACAATTTTTACACTCTATTATTTGAATATCTAAAATTCTTGCTCCACAAATAAAATATACTGAGTTTAGTAATACTTAGAAGGAACTACAGCCTATAGGAAAACTCAAACAATGAAAAACATAATTTACAATTCAGATCTCCCAATAAGATAACAGCCCTGCATGGAATCACATGTGAACACTGCCCATTTAAGGACTTATTTTGCATTGAAAATGTGTTATATTTTGAGAAAGCATTCTAAAGGATTTATAGGGTCTATTCTGTATATGAACTCATTAGTATGCCTTTTCAGCAAATTCTTTTAAAATTTGTATTTATTTATTTTTATTTCATATGTATGAGTGTTTTGTCTGCATGTATGTAAGTGCACCCATGCGAACAATGCCCTCAGAAGACAGACAAGAACATCAGATCCTCTGGAACTGGAGTTACAAATGGTTGTTAGCCATCATGTGGATACTGGGAACTGAACCCTGGTCCTCTGCAAGAGCAGTCAGTGCTCTTAGCCATGGAGATATCTCTCCATCCCCTCAGCAACATTCTAGAGTCTTTGTAGCTTTGTTTAATCTTTTTTCATTAAAACTTTATTTATTATTGTTGTGTGTGTGATGTGTTAGTGTGGGTGTGCACCTGCCACAGTGAGGTGTATGGAGATAAACAAACAACTTTGTGAAGTTAGTTCTCTCCTTCCACCATTATGTGAATTCAGAGATCAAACTTAGCTCAAAGTTAGGTCACCAGGTTTCTATCCCAAATGCTTTACTCCCTGAGCCATCTTGCCATTCTCATATTTTTTTATCCATGTGGAATTGATTTTGATGGCAGCAGCAGCTATTTTGCTGTCCCCACATCTTTACCTGTTATTAGCTTTTCTTCAAGTAGAATGAAATGCTCTCTGTATCATATACAAGTTCCTGATGTTTAAGAGTCTACTTCTGTTCCATTCTGTAATGTTTAAGATTTTGATATACAAGATGAAATCACAAAGTACTGGAATAAGAGATGAGTTCATTTAAAACTTTCAGGTTTGGGCTGAAAAGATGGTTCAGTGGTTAAGTATACTGGCTGCTCTTGCAGTGGACCTAGGTTTGGTTCCCAGAACCCACATGGTGCTCACAACCCCTCTATAATTCCAGTTCTAGGGGATCAGACATCCTCTTCTGGCTTCCATGAGCACTGCACACAAGGTGCAGTTACACACATTACAGGCAAGACACTCATATACATAAAATAAAAATAAACTTAAAATTTTTTTAAAGAGTAAAACTTTGGGGGGCTGAAGAGATGGCTCAGCAGTTAAGAACACTGAATATTCTTGCAGAAGACTTGGGTTCAAATTCCAGCACTCACATGGCAGCTAACAATTTTCCATAACTCCAGTTCCAGGGGATCCAATGCCATCTTCTGACCTCCAAGGGCATTGCATGACATGGGTGCACTTACACACATGCAGGCAATACACACTACAAATAAAATAAAAATAGTAAATAAAATGTTAAAAAAAAAAGAGTAAAACTTTTGGGTAAACAATCTTTGTATAGGATAATATTAAATTTAATATTAAATCAAATATTAAATATTAAAATTGTTTTGTTTTTATAGAATAATGGAAAGCAAAAAAATCATAATTTAAAAAGTATATTCTTTTGGAGAGTGCTTATAATCAGTTCAACTGGCTTCGGGTCAATAACCTCCATATAAAACAATAACTTCCAATCAATATTACCAACAAGAATGATGGGGGAAAGACATGAACAGGAAATATATAAAAGGACAACAGAAAAGCAATGAATACTTGAAAATTAAACAACTATTGAAGAAAGAAAAATTGAAATAAAATGTCATCTATAATTGTCAAATTGAAAATGTTTTAAAGATATTACTGGAGAAAATATGTGAAATCGATGTGCCTTGGTTGTTGGTAGGCTTATAGGTGAATTTAATCCACCTGAGGATGTGATTTCAATGTGCTTCACAATTTATAATGTTTGTGAACACAAATATACATACTTGGAACACAGTCTTGTGGTCTGTTATTGGGGTGGTTTCAGCCCCACATGAACTATTTATTCTTCATTTACTGTGCCCCAAGGATGATTCGGGAGTGGTAAATGGTAAACATCTTGAGGCCTATATGTCATTTTGCACTTAGTTAAATTTTGTTTCTAAGAAAATCATCCATACGTTCCAACAAATTCACAAAGGGGTCTCTGTTTCTCTAACATGTTAAGATTGTGTGCTTTAAATGTCAATGACTTTAAAATATCACTTTTTACTGCAAAGGCTGAAATTAATTCCAAGTTAATCCAGATCTGTAAACTGCAATGTTTCCCAGCTGACTTCTTGTGTTCATCTCAATGTGAAATATCTGTATCTGGCTTGCACTAGCTATGTCAGTGTTTTTCTCCCTGTTAAGCCCAGAAACATATTGTCTTCTCTTACTAAACAGACTAAGCACTGTGATGGGAACTCTGCCCAGGTGAGAAGCAGAAGCAAGATAAGTAATCCACCCAAACATGAGCAGGTAATTGGAGCACAAGGTCTGACGGTGCTCAAGGAAGACTTTGGGAGGCAACTCACACTTCCAAGGGAACCAAGAATTAGCCAGGGAAA